ACCCCTCCCCGACTCGGGGCGGCCGGAGGGGAAGGGGCGGGGGTCCTGGAGGCAGGCCAGCGGCGCGGCGGGCGCGGAGGATGCACGCGGGGGTCCTGGGCCTCTCCGCCCTGCTGCTGGCGGCCGAGCAGAGCGCGCGTGAGTGCCGGGCAGGCCACGGTCACCCCTCCGACCCACCCTGACGCCCGGGGACCCACACGCCACCCCGGCCACGGCGGCGGCCTCTCCCCGCCTGCGCCCAGCACTGCGCGCCAGTGCACGCACGGCGGCACCCCACCCGCCCGGTCTCTGGTAGATCCCCGCGAATGCACGACCCTCCCGGGGATGCGTGATTGCCCCCGAGGATGAATGCCGCACCCCCTCCGCCCCCGCCCCTCCCCCTTGCATGCGTGGTCCCCGTGTATCTGAGGCCCCTCCGCGGCGGGTGCACGATCCTCCCCACTCCCCCTCCAGCGGGTGCGTGACCCTCTACAGGAGTCGCGGCACACGTGGCCCCCCCTTCCCTCCAGAAAGACCTCCAGGACTCGGCAAAGTGCCGCAGGTGCCCGAGGCGCTGCACGCGGGCCTGGGGGCGCCCTGCTCTCCCCACTACCCGGCCGGCCTGGGGGTCTGGGCGGCGGGGGAAGCCGCTTGGGGCCAGGTTGTGGTGGGACTGGGCTCGGCTTCCGCGGAGCTCTGGAGGGAGGACCGCCTACAGCTGGGCCGGAGGCGGCGGGCGCGGGACGCGGTGGTCGCGTAGGGAGCGCGGTCCGCCGGCCGAGGCGGGGCCAGAGGGCGGGGCGGTGCAGCGCCTTTCCAGTTTGAACTTGTAACTCCTTCGGTGCCGGAGCGGAGGCCTCCGCCCGCTGCCGCCCGGCTCCTTGCAGCCACTTCTTCCTCGCGGGGCCCCCGCAGATGGGGGTAGGGATGGAGGGAGTGGAATTAATGGGGCTTCAGCATCCAGACCCCCCAGCGTTCCTCGCCACTCCCCAGCTCGCAGGCACTCGGGGACCCCGGCGGGCGCTGGCTCCGCACTTTATCCTGGGAGGGAGTTGCCCCCGCGCCGCGTCGGCGGGTCCCTTGTTTGAACCGCGGTCCACGTAGGCCCCCCGGGGGCGTCCCCGCCATGAGGATTCAGAGGCGCCCAGAGGAGGTCCCACGTTGAGATCGGCATGGGAGGGGGAGCCTCTAAAAGAATCCTTTAACACACATTCAGGCAAATTGTGATTTGGTGAAATACCTCTTCATGAAAATGTAGCATAAAATGGAGAGTGAAGTGATCTAGCAATATAGAATGTAGAGTTTGGAAGAAATTAAAATTTGTGTATAGAATAATAGTTGCAAATATTCAAACAATAAAGTCTGTGGCTAAAGGAGCTAAGTATTGGTGTCTGGTTTTCCTTGTGCCCCTATAAACACAGGGATTCAGGTCTGCACCCTGGTAAAGTGGGCAGAGACTCAGCCCCGCTCTATGAGTGTCCCCTTTCTCCACAGCTCTTTCCACACAACTCAGCTCCACTCATTCCAACGTCCCCCTAACCCCATCTACCCTTTCAGGCCCTGGTGGTGACACAGCTCTGATCTTCAGCTCCACTGGTCATGTTTCCCAGAATGTCACGACCCTGGTCAGGAAAGGTCATGGGGAAGTCTCAAAGACATCTGTCTAGTTCTACACTTTTTGAGGCCCCTCAACATATTTCTGCAGATGGAAACCACCGGGGGCTAAAGAGACAGGCATCTCTGCCCTCCCAGACCTCAGAAATCTCTTGTTATTTTGTCCCAAAACCTCTGAATTGAGCTACGTGGATGAAGAGTTCCTTCCATAATTGTACTATCTTTTTCAACTGATTCCTGAATTATGCACTCAGCAGTCTCACAAAAGAGCAACACATACCCCTGCATAAGCTCATGGAATAAATCTCCAGGAATGAAACTATCAGCGATAACACATTCGAGTTTTTAAAATAATTAGTGCAATATACTTTTCGCCAAGAAAAAATGAATGTTCTCACAAAGTGGATCTCCCTACTTTGTCTGCAGGACTTGGAGTGTTATACTTTGACACAAACCAATATTGAATATAAATCTCGAGGGAAATTCTTCCAGGATATCCACTGGGATGACTTGTGTTCTTGTAGCACAAAGTAGCACAATTCCCAAACCACAGGCCTGAGTCCCCTTACAGGAACACATACAAAGATGATATTGATCCATCATTACTTTTGAAATCTCCACAAGGGATTCTGGGGGACAGTCAGGGTGGAAAAACACATCCTGTGTGAAGAGGATGCGCAAGCAATTCTATCGTCAGCCTAAGAAAAAACGTGTTTTACCCACAAGCTGTATTCGAATTTAGCTGTAATTATGGGCAACCACCTTATCTGAGACCCATGTGGTGGCTTAGCCATGAATGCCCTCTTCTGCCCCAATGTGTCTCCAGGAGGGAAGGGCCCGGTGCTGCTGGGGGTGAGGGCTGTGCAGGTGCTGGGACCCCCAGGAATGGTGATGTGCACACTCCCTTCCCAGAGGAGTGCACGTCCACTGGGATTTATCTACACTGACCTACGCATGTGCCTGTGCTGGGCATTCCTACCTAGACAAGGGATTTCAGAGTGGGAACCACTATTTTCTGAGCTGAGGCTATTCTCCTGGGACAGTATAAACCCCTTTCTCCATGAAGTTTTCTATTTTCTACCTTTCCTTCCAAGAACCCTCCCATAGCTTCGAGGCAGAAGACATTGACTGTAGCTCCTATTCAAACTGCTGCTGTCCCAGGAGAAAGACCCTCCTCCTAAACTTTAAATCACTGGGTTCTTTTTTAACATATGAAAATGGGATACATGTTTATTCTTCAAAGATACCTAGGGGGCTTCCCTGATGGCACAGTGGTTGAGAGTCCTCCTGCCGATGCAGGGGACACGGGTTCGTGCCCCGGTCCGGGAAGATCCCACATGCCGCGGAGGGGCTGGGCCCGTGAGCCATGGCCGCTGAGCCTGCGCGTCCGGAGCCTGTGCTCCGCAACGGGAGAGGCCACAACAGTTAGAGGCCTGCGTACCAAAAAAACCCCCCAAAAACCTAGGAATTCAGGAAACATTTTTTTCTAAAACTTGAAACTTTGAGCAAGGTATGGAATACCACAACGATCCCCCCTTTACTCTCAATCGCAATTTCTGTACGTGACTTCAATTTTCTATTCTTTTACTAGTGGAGGAGGGTCCTTCTCCCAGTGTGTCCACATTATGACATACTCCCTTTGCAGGACAACCAGGAAAAGAGGATCTGGGGACTGGAAGTCAATAAAAATGGAGGCTGTAGTACACCAGAGGGCGTGGGCCTCTTAACAATGAGGTATGAACCTGAAGGTATGGAAACCCAGACCTTAAACCTGCTCCCTTGTATTGATTTAGAGAGAAGAGACTCAAAAGGTTTACAGGGGGTTTGATCATCTGTATCACAGAACTGAGACTCTGAAATGGGGAGAGACATAGAAGATCAGAATTAAAAGTTCTGACCAGAAAACCAGAAATGCATTGAAAAGTGCGTGGAAAACTGGTCGTGGGGAAGGGAGGGAAGGAAGCCTCTTAGGATAAATAAACATTACCTTCAATGAAATAAAGCATTTTGTAAGAATCATATCGAAAATGCAGGGAAGAGCCAAAGATGTCTGACTTTGAGGTTTTACTTTGGTAAATGGAAAATAATCATGAGTTTTGTAGCTTCACTTGATTTATAGGGTCACCCAACTCTGTATATTTTCCTTCAAGATGTAAGTTCTTCCACTGTGGCTCTTTCTCCTGCAGGGCTTTTGTAGGGAAGGAGGGGGTACTCCATCTCATTAAACTAGTGGGATCAGCGCAGCAAGACTGTTTGGACGTGGCAAATCCTTGATGGAGGTGGAAAACTCCCCCCACATAAAAAGGAGGAATAGTTTGGATAATTGCCTGCTTTAAAAGTTAAAGACCCCAACTTCATCTCAGCATCACCATGACTAAATACCACTTCTCCTTTACACCATAGTTAGATAGATGAATGGATAGACAGACAGACAGATAGATAGATTTATGTTCTGGAAGGTTTTCCAGTGGGCAGGTTTACTTCTTGCGCATGGGAATCTTGATTAACCCTCAAGCCCATGTGGAAAAAAACCTTTTGTGAGGACAGAGATTGGGATGGAGTTGAGAGTAAGATACAGGAGAAGATACCAGTTTATATGCCCTCTAAGATTTTGAAAAGAATAATAACGGTTCTAACTCAACTCCTTCCATAGACCTACACGTGCTCTCTGCCTAGTGGTTGACCAGACTGCCTTTCAGCGGCTCCGGAGGCGGTGGCCAATTTAACTTCCGGCTGACCACCGACCTGCGGTCCTAAGGTTCACGTAGCACTTTTCCAGGGCCCGTTATAAGGTTGGTGGACGGCAGAGGAACTGCTTCCGTGCACTTCTAGAGGCCGGGTGGAATCGGTACTTTCCTGGCTTAGAAAGCAGACAACTCAACTCCGCCCCCCTCCCTGCCTCCCTCCGACCCGTCTAGCTACTCGGGAAAACCCAGGACGAGACACTCCGCGCCTAAAGGCTCAGCCGAAATGCATCCTGCAGTCGGGTCTCCGGCCGGAACCCTCCCCGACTCGGGGCGGCCGGAGGGGAAGGGGCGGGGGTCCTGGAGGCAGGCCAGCGGCGCGGCGGGCGCGGAGGATGCACGCGGGGGTCCTGGGCCTCTCCGCCCTGCTGCTGGCGGCCGAGCAGAGCGCGCGTGAGTGCCGGGCAGGCCACGGTCACCCCTCCGACCCACCCTGACGCCCGGGGACCCACACGCCACCCCGGCCACGGCGGCGGCCTCTCCCCGCCTGCGCCCAGCACTGCGCGCCAGTGCACGCACGGCGGCACCCCACCCGCCCGGTCTCTGGTAGATCCCCGCGAATGCACGACCCTCCCGGGGATGCGTGATTGCCCCCGAGGATGAATGCCGCACCCCCTCCGCCCCCGCCCCTCCCCCTTGCATGCGTGGTCCCCGTGTATCTGAGGCCCCTCCGCGGCGGGTGCACGATCCTCCCCACTCCCCCTCCAGCGGGTGCGTGACCCTCTACAGGAGTCGCGGCACACGTGGCCCCCCCTTCCCTCCAGAAAGACCTCCAGGACTCGGCAAAGTGCCGCAGGTGCCCGAGGCGCTGCACGCGGGCCTGGGGGCGCCCTGCTCTCCCCACTACCCGGCCGGCCTGGGGGTCTGGGCGGCGGGGGAAGCCGCTTGGGGCCAGGTTGTGGTGGGACTGGGCTCGGCTTCCGCGGAGCTCTGGAGGGAGGACCGCCTACAGCTGGGCCGGAGGCGGCGGGCGCGGGACGCGGTGGTCGCGTAGGGAGCGCGGTCCGCCGGCCGAGGCGGGGCCAGAGGGCGGGGCGGTGCAGCGCCTTTCCAGTTTGAACTTGTAACTCCTTCGGTGCCGGAGCGGAGGCCTCCGCCCGCTGCCGCCCGGCTCCTTGCAGCCACTTCTTCCTCGCGGGGCCCCCGCAGATGGGGGTAGGGATGGAGGGAGTGGAATTAATGGGGCTTCAGCATCCAGACCCCCCAGCGTTCCTCGCCACTCCCCAGCTCGCAGGCACTCGGGGACCCCGGCGGGCGCTGGCTCCGCACTTTATCCTGGGAGGGAGTTGCCCCCGCGCCGCGTCGGCGGGTCCCTTGTTTGAACCGCGGTCCACGTAGGCCCCCCGGGGTCGTCCCCGCCATGAGGTTTCAGAGGCGCCCAGAGGAGGTCCCACGTTGAGATCGGCTCCAGAGCTCCGGGGTCCAGCGCCAACACTGAGCAGGGCTAAGATGAGACAGGACCCCGGGTCTCAGCACCCACCCCAGGTGGCCCCGCGGACGTGGGTTCCTCCTTCCCTCCCGGCTAGGAACGCCTGGGCCTCACCGTTCCTCAGACTGGGCAAGGCGGTGACTCCCCCAGAGGCTTCTGGTGCCTGGGGCTCCTGGTTTGCCTTGTGTGCCGGGTGATTAGAGCAAGAGACAGAGCCTGGGCACCAAGGAATGGCTGCCCAAGCCCTGGCTTCTCGGGGAAACCTGCAGGGTTCCCGTCTGTACCTGGGGCAGCGCTCTCTTACCGCTGCAGCTCACAGCTTTACGTGCCCGTAAATCCATGTTAAACTCTAACACTGGGAAACCCAAGCAATAGTCCTGTAAAACAATTACTGTGAGTCCCGAGCACCTACTAGTACTGGACAGAGGTAAGCACCCACCTCTATTGTCATTCATCAGGGAGGGCAGATCCTAACCTAGATTTATCAAGCTCTTTCCATTCCCTGACCCTATCCTACAGCGCTCAAAAATAAAATAAATGAAGCCGCCCCCAGAGAGGAGGTTTTACATTTTTGAGCCCATACTAAGTGCCAGGTGGGTTTTTTTTTTTTTTTTTTTTTTTTTTGCATGCTGTCCTATGCAATCCAACAGTCCCTTTGTACAGCCATGGTGTCTGGGCCTTCGGGAAGCTCTGGCGCTTTCATTCGACCTCATTCCGGTCTAGACTGCCCGCGGGCTCTGCCCACTCCAGGCTAGGTGTAGCAGGCAGCGCTGCTGGCTGTAGGGACACAGCGTTTGCTGGTCCCTCCCTCCTGCCTTCCACTAACCCTCTGGTCCTTCCTCTGGTCCCCAGGCCTCTGCACCGTGGTTTACTACTTTACCACAGGCCGGCTCCTCTGGGGGTGGCTGGCCCTCTCTGTGCTACTGCCTGGCTTCTTGGTCCAAGGCCTGAGCTACCTTTGGTTCCGAGAAGATGGACATCAAAGTCACTGCTCGTTGGTGGTGCTACACCTCCTCCAGCTTGGCGTGTGGAAGCGGTAAGGCAGCCCCTTTCAACCCTGAAGTGTGATTTCACACGTGCGATAGGAGGGTTCTTCTGCGCATATGTATTCCATCCTTAGGGTCACAAAAGTGCAGGCTTGGGAGAATGTTGGGAGCCACCTCTTTGAACATTTGCTCTGATTGGTCACCTCACCGAGCCTGGACATCCTCAAGGGGCTCCTACCTGAAGGAGCCGTGACCCTTCAAAAGTTTTTTCTTGACTTGGGCCAAATCCTATGTGCTCATGTTTAATTCAGTTGGTCTCGCCTTTAGAGCCATGGAAAGTGACTCCGTTAGGGCCGGTCCATGTAAACACCTACTCCCTCACTCCAGGAGGGTGACACAGATTTAAGCAGACTCAGCAGTGGGGTCGGTCTGGTAACATTTGCATTAAGCTTTTATTGCAAAAAGAAGCCATTTGGGTGCCAGGGCCAAATTTTTCCATAAAAAGGCATCCTGGACAGGCCTAGAGCTCAGCAGGCTCGCCTTTGGTCCACCAGTGCAACAGGTAAGGTGTTATTTTCCCTGGGATACCTGGATTCCTGGAGGGTCAGGGGAGATGCGGCAGTGAGTTTACACGGGCAAATTTCAGCTCTCAGCTGCCTCATAATCCCATAGAGTTGCCAGGAATTTTAAAAGGGAGAAAATTGGGAGATCCGATCGGTGACGGCCTCCGGCTCAAGAGCACATGAACTTGTAGATGCTGAGGATAGAAAGGCTATCGGGAGTCACGGCCAAGTCTCAGATCTCGGGCTGTGCTGCTGGCTGTTCTGGGTGCTTTATGCCTTCAAGCCATGCCCAAGGCTTTCTTTGGAGGCGCTGAAGTGAGTTTTCTCATTTCCCAGCTGCGTCTGAGGAGGGAATGAATCTCAGCTTGGAGGCAGAGGGTACTTCTGATAAAGACATCACCCAACCACCCGAATTTCTCTGGGCCCCTCGGAGCTGGAACCCTACATCTCTAAAGGCACCAGAAGCATTTTCAGCTACAGCAGTTTTGCCTAAAGCTGAGCCTTTGTGTTCAAGCCATGTGGTTCCTCTGAAACAATAGGACTCTGACCAGTGGGAAGAGAGCAGAGGTGGCTTTCCCGTTGGACTCAGGGAGGATCGGAGCCTGTACTGGGCGCTACCCACATGTGCTGACCCTTCTGTCTGCCCAAGTTGGTATGAAAACCATTAAGGGCTCAGGTCCTTCCACGTGATACGTTATAGTCATCAAGTTTGCGACCTCAAGGACAGAGCACCTATTGAAAAAAAATGAATCAACTCTCCCCTAAGCAAACATGTCATAGCTCAAAAGAAGATTGAAGTCAGGGCCAGTCACTTGAGAGAAGCCTCCTGAATAACTGTCAGATAAATCTGTCTTCTGGGGCTCCGGGGGGATGCTTGGTCCCATTTGATCCAGTGCCTTCTTCAGAGATGGGGCAGCATCAGGCTCGCATGTATCCACTTCCATGCTGGTGTCCAACACTGACGCCCGCTCATCTTCCCCAAGTTTCTCAGATGATGCCATGAATACTAAACATATTTTTTAAAAAAACTAAAATGGGTAAATGGAGACAGGAAAATTAGAAATTAGGAAAAACAGCTAGTCATCTATATCTCTTCTTATTTAAAAAAAGAAGTTAGTGGGACTTCCCTGGCAGTCCAGTGTTTAAGACTGCGCTCCCACTTCAGGGTACACAGGTTCAATCCCTGGTCAGGGAACTAAGATTCCATATGCTGCTCTGTGTGGCCAAAAAAAAAAAAAAAAAAGTTAAGGTGACTAAAAAGATATATGTATAATTTAAAAGGACAAAAAAAAAGGCACGAAAAAAGAAAAGAAGTGAGAAAAGTCAGGAAACGGAAGGGAATGTCAGAAAGGAAGGTAACTCTAGAATGCACTCTTGTTCACGGTGAACCACAGATTTGTCTCTCAGTTTTGTAACAAGCATAAGAAGCTACATGGTTTGCAATGCTTCTGCGATAGAAAATAAACCAAACAAATGGAAATCTACTTCCTTAGAAGAAAACTTTGAAAGTTAAAGTAGAAAACAAGAAATCTATTCCTTATCCTGCAACCAGCTTATTGGGCTTTCACAAAGAAGACACTGGGTAATGGAGTGTCTTTCAGCACATCCACACGGAACTTCCCAAGACTGATTCCCAGGCAGGGCCAGCAAAGAAGCCTATCAGAAAACTGCAGTTCAGCGAAAGCACCTGTTGGAGGAACCAAAACAGTTCTGTTTGCACAGCCCTATACAAGCAGCATTTAGAAAGGGGTCGTAACGCAATGCAGAAGAATCTACTGACAACAAAAAACCAATTAAACACAAACCTCATGAAGTGGCTTGTAAAAAAGGCAAGGACTTAAAACATAAACGTAGGGCTTCCCTGGTGGCGCAGTGGTTGCGAATCTGCCTGCTAACGCAGGAGACATGGGTTCGAGCCCTGGTCTGGGAGGATCCCACGTGCCGCGGAGCAACTAGGCCCGTGAGCCACAACTGCTGAGCCTGCGCGTCTGGAGCCTGTGCTCCGCAACGGGAGAGGCCGCCGATGGTGAGAGGCCCGCGCACCGCGATGAGGAGTGGCCCCCCACTTGCCTCAACTGGAGAAAGACCTCGCGCAGAAACGAAGACCCAACACAGCAAAAATTAATTAATTAATTAAATAGGTACTGGAATGATTGCATAATCTAAGTTCCAGATAACAACAACAACAACAAAAAGTTCTATTCAACATCAATCTGTTTAAAAAAAAAAAAACAAACCCAGGAAACAGTGTTGGCAAGGATGTGGAGAAATTGGAACCCTTGCACACTGACGGTGGAAATGTAAAATGGTGCAGCCACTGTGGAAAACAGAATGGTAGTTCCTCACAAAATTAAACATAGAAGTACCGTATAGTCCAGCAATTCCACTTCTGGGTATGTATCCAAACAAGTTGAAAGCAGGGTCTGGAAGAGACCTTTGTACACGCATGTTCCTAGCAGCATTACTCACAGTAGCCAAAACATGATGCAACCCAAGTGTCTATTAACAGATGAATGGATAAGCAAAATGTGGTCTGTACACACAATGGAAAAAAGGGATGATATTCTGTAATATGCTACAACGTGGATGACTCTGGAGGACATGATGCAGTAAGCCATGCAATAAGACAAATATATGATTCCACTTACATGCGGCACCTAGAGTAGTCAGGTTCCTAGAGTCAAGTTCATAGAGACAGAAAGTAGGATGGGGGGTGCCAGGGGCCAGGGGAGGAGGGAACGGGGACTTATTGTTTAATGGGGATAGAGTTTCAGTTTTACAAGATGAGAAGAGTTGCAGAGGGCGATGGTGGTGACCATTATGAATTATTGCAAATTGTCAATCATCTATTCAGTTATGAAATTTAAATTATTAATGTCACTGAGCTGTACTCATAAAACGGTAAAGACGGTACGTTTTTTTTTTTTCTGTTTTTTTTTTTTTTGGCGGTACGCGGGCCTCTCACTGCTGTGGCCTCTCCCGCTGCGGAGCACAGGCTCCGGACACGCAGGCCTAGCGGCCATGGCTCACGGGCCCAGCCGCTCCGCGACACGTGGGATCCCCCCGGACCGGGGCACGAACCCACGTTCCCTGCGTCGGCAGGCGGACCCTCAACCACTGCGCCACCAGGGAAGCCCAAGACGGTACGTTTTATGTTACGTGCATTTTACCGCAATTTTAAAAAGTTGAAAAAAGTGTACAGTCCTAGCGGAAACCTCAGCCGTTCACTGTCTCAGCTTTCACGTCACCATAAAGTGTTAAGATCGAGAGGAGTATCACTAATTCTTCGCCTTGTGGGGCTACAATAGACTATTCCAGGTGAAGCGGATACCTTTGGTTTTTTATTTAAGCTGTTCAGTGGAGCTTTGCTGAAAAACATCATTGCAAAGACCAAGTTAGTTTAATTGAACGTGTTAACAAACGTCAATTTTTAGTGCATGTTGTTGTTAGTGCAACGAGAAATCTTAGACCATCATCAACACAGCTCAATATGCTCGGTATTTATTCGTTCATGTTTACTAACCTTGTGTGACCAAAGGGACTGGAGACACGTGATTAAGACACAATCTGAGGCCAAATTGGGAACAAAGCTGGAACAGTGAATTAGAAGAAGAGAGAGATGTTCACAGGATGCTGGGAGCCCCAAGGTTTGCCACGGTGCATCCCTGGACCAGCGACGTCTTCATCACCCGAAACTCGTTAAAAATGCAAATTCTCGAGCTTCACCGGGACCCACATGGCATCACGGCAAACTCCTCATAATTCTCCAAACGCGTCTGTTTAATCAGAAATTCTAGGCCTGTGGCCGGGCAACCTGTCTTTCAACAGCCCACCTGGTGACTCCGATGTTGGGCACGTCTGGAACCGCCGTCCGGACACGGGAGCCGTCGTGGGAGGGCTGAAGAATGAGGTGGACTTGGAAGCACGTGGGAAGGGGAGGCACTTCGGACCCAGGCAACAGCAAAGCTGCTGCAGATGGAAGTGCTGGAAGTGGTGGTTTCGGAAAACTGTCTGTTGTGCCGTGAGTGCGGGGTAAGGATTTTCTGGACAAGAGCAATGTGGACGGAGACAGACTGGGCTGGAGCTTGTCCACCAGGTAAGGGGTTTGAGAGCCACTGGAAAGGTTTAAGTAAAGGAGTAACCTGGTCAGATAAGGCCCTTAGAGACAGCACAGGAAAGGAACTGAGAAGGGAGAGTCCAAGGGCCAGGCAGGCGGCCAGAAATCCGGGCAGGAGCTGGTGAGTACCTGGAAGGAGAGTACCCATTCCCACCTCTGCCCTCCTCGCACTCACCGCCCCGTACCTCCGCTTTCACCTGGGCCCCCCGAACCCCCCAACCAGTGATCTCAGCCTGAGTCCCTCCCCCTGCAGCAGGTTCCAGAAACGCGATTCAGAAAACCAGGTGAATCGCATTCCCACTGGTTCTCCATTTCCCGCTGGTCCAGAAGGGACACCCAGCTCCTCAGCTGGGCCAGAAGAGGCCTCTGCTGCCCCAGGATGGACCGCCGTTTCAGTGGCCCTTCTCCTGCCCCCCTGGCGCCACCGTGCTCCCTCAGGCTTTGTCCCTGTCCTGAGTATGCCCGTCCCTCCTTTCCCTGAATATGTTTTCCTCTCTCCCCGGGACCCCTTCCGCCTCTCTCGTTTTCACACGTCTTTCTTCCTGCTTAAGACTTTTCGCATGTGTATGGCTTGCTTTCCACAACTGAATCTAGGGCTTCCGGAGGTCTTCAGTTTCTTTTGCACCCTCTGCAGTCTCCAGCAGGTGGGAGCAGCCCAATAAGGATGCACATGGAATGAATGGAGGCGGCTGGGAGGGTAGGAAGGGAGATTGGCACGTCCCCAGAATGGAGGACTCAGGACTGAAAGGGAAGCTACCGTATTCAGCTTCATATGCTTTTTAAAAAATAAATAAATTTATTTATTTTTGGTTGCGTTGGGTCTTCGTTGCTGCGCGCAGGCTTTCTCTAGTTGTGGCGAGCGGGGGCTACTCTTCGTTGCGGTGCGCAGGCTTCTCATTGCGGTGGCTTCTCTTGTTGCAGAGCACAGGCTCTAGGCGCACGGGCTTCAATAGTTGTGGCTCACGGGCTCAGTAGTTGTGGCTCGTGGGCTCTAGAGCTCAGGCTTAGTAGTTGTGACACACAGGCTTAGCTGCTCCGCGGCATAAGGGATCCTCTGGGACCAGGGCTCGAATCCGTGTGCCCTGCCTTGGCAGGCAGATTCTTAACCACTGCACCACCAGGGAAGCCCCATATGCTTTTTCTTAACGTTATATTTGGGTCAGAGATCACGGCTTCAAAGACTCAGTAAGAAATCAGTTCACTCCAGGATCCAAATCATGAAAGAGGAAAGCTGTCTTTCTTGAGTGTCTTCCCTGGGCCCTGTGTACCCTGAACAAAGCCATTTCAAAGAGGACCCCCTTCTGCTCTGGCCGTAGAAATGTTGGCCGGAGATCAGAGGTGGGGGCGTTCGGGGTAACTTGAAAGGCGCACCCAGCTCTCCTTCAGGAGTCGGTAAATTAAAACGATTCCCAGTTTTTCTGAACTTCGACAGGACAGAAGTTCGCAATGGCACGTGGACTTGGCAGGCACGCCAGCCCCTGCTGCAGGCAGGTGTAGGGATCACTGTGTTCCTGCTTCTGGGCGCGTGAGTGGGAAACTGCTGTGAAAACCCGAAGTCCCCAGAGCCCACACGTGCCTGGGGAACGGTGTCGTTTTTATATGTGCACGACCCTCCTGGGGGCGCGGGACAGCGACCCATGGCATCTCCAGACGGCTTTCATAAGATGGAAGCGTCAGAAAGGTTTCTAGGCTGGGTTTTGGGGGAAGTAGAATGAAACAGGCGCATTTCCTTCTTTTTCTGCTCAGGCACTGACTCTCTTTCCTGGATGTGTGTCCCTGCAGCCAGGGCAGCCCGTCCTTGCACACCCCACGATGGCACCCTGCCCTTCCTGCTGTCCAGCAGAAGTGGATTAATTCCCATCCCGAGAGGCCCTGGGGCCGGGGAGGTAATTCAGGGTTAGCTCTAAACTTTGCAGGGCTCAGAGAGAGCCCACAGAAAACCTGTGTGGTCCAGGCTCCCGGCCTAGCACCCCTTCCACGTGTGGCCAGAGTGTGTTCCGCTGGCCGGACCTTGCTGGGCAAGGTCACCTGCTGCAGCACTTGGGTCAGACGTGCCACCTTCACTCTGGAGTCAGAGCTCAGGGACTTGGGGTGTAGATGCGATCGGTTAACCCCTGGAAAGCTATCGGTCTCTACACGATAAGCCAGAGAAGGGGGTTCCTGTTTAAGCTATCATGGTGTGGTTCTGAGTCCTGGGCTCTCCTCTTCCTCAGGCACTGGGACGCCGTGGCCCCTGTTCTCCGGAAGGAAGGGGAGGCCTCCGCCTGGGGCCAGCTGCGGATGCAGGAGGCCGACCTGTCGGCCCTGCGCCTCCTGGAAGCCCTGCTGCAGGTCGGGCCCCACCTGCTGCTTCAAACATACATCTTTCTTGCCTCGGACTTCACTGGTATCGTGCCGGGTGAGTGTCTCCTACCACTGACCTCAGACCATCCGACTTCTCAAGGGGGACAGAAGGAAATGCCCTATTTAGCAAAACCCGGCAACCTAAGATTTCCTGTTTGGGAGAATTAGGGCAGCCCAAGGGAATGGTTAATACTGGCTTTTGTTTGGGGAGATGAGTTCCCGGGGGTTGGCTCCCCTCATGGGGCTCAGTTCATGGGACAGAAATTGCAGATAGTCAGATGACCCTGAAAGCACCTTGGGAAGGTACCGTGTGCTGCCTCTTGCGAAATCAGCGTGTCTGTTTCTCACGGGACTAACTGTGCAGTCTGAGCCTCACATCTCGAGAGCCATGGAAACAGAGCAACTCGGGCCCCAGCAAACGTGCATCTTCTGCTGGCCCTCACTCCAGGGTGCAGGCTCTCTCCTATGGGCCTGGAACCATTGGATCCTGGTCTCATTTCTCTGATTAAACCTCCTTCATATGGATTGATTGGCAAAGTGCATTTGGGATGAAATAGCACGTTCAGAGCCGTTAGGATCTGCTTCGTCATAAACCAGAGGTGCTTGAGGAGCAGTGACTGGGATGCTTTTCTTAAAGGGTGAACACGGAGAGCCCAGCCCACCTGAGGGGACAAGCGCCCATGTGTTAAGCAGAGGAAAGCTCTCCTGCACGTCCTCATTTCTTCAGAGCAGAGAAGGGCGTGCGTGTTTGCACGGAGGTGACGCTGCCCTCTGAGAAGTCAGATTTTGTTAAGGGTTAGATGTCCTGTATTTACTATGTTGTTCTGTGTGCTTCGCTTCCAGGGATGAGTGCACTGTGCTCCTGGTCTGTGCTGTCCTGGGCCCTGGTGTGCTATGCTCGTGCCATGGGCGCCATGAAGCCGGGTCACCTCTCCATGCCGTGGACGGCCCTCGGCTGCCAGCTGCTCTGGAGGATGGGCATGGTGGGAGCCCGCGTTCTGAGTCTGGTTCTGTTCTTCCAAGTTTACCGCGTCTGGGTTCTGGTTGTTGCAGGTGAGCTGAGCATATGTTCCGACTATCTGTTGCTGCCTGACAAACCACCCCGAACTTAATGCCTTAAGAGAACCATTCATGGGGCTTCCGTGGTGGCGCAGTGGTTGAGGGTCTGCCTGCCGACGCAGGGGACGCGGGTTCGTGCCCCGGTCCGGGAAGATCCCACGTGCCGCGGAGCGGCTGGGCCCGTGAGCCATGGCCGCTGAGCCTGCGCGTCCGGAGCCTGTGCTCCGCAACGGGAGAGGCCACAGCAGTGAGTGGCCTGCGTACCGCCAAAAAAAAGAAAAGAAAAGAACCATTCATGATCAACAGCCCCGGTTCTGAGGGCTGACTGGGCTCCGCTGGGGGTTCTTGCCTGGGGCAGGGCGTCCCCGCACCATCGCAGTAGGTTAGCAGGTGTTTGGATTCATAGGGGGGCTCCACTGGGCTGGCTGTACAGACGTCCGGCACCCAGGGCTCCTCCACCCTTTCTCTTCGGCAAAGTCATCTGGATTCGGACGTGTCAGCTGAGCATTCCAAGAGAAAGGGGGTGGAATGGCCCGGAACTGGATCAGCATGGCTTCTGCTGTATTCTGCCTGGCAAAGCGATCTCGGCCAGCCCAAGTTCAAGAATGTGGAGGAATAGATCCAGCCCACAAGTGTCCAGGGAGAGGAGGAATGCATGCAGGGTCTCTTTGGAGAAATGCGCCCGCAGCTCAGAGAGCCCAGCCCTCGCAGGACCAGCCAGCCCCAGAGCGCAGCTTTAGCTGCTGTGAGGGCTCCACATTCTGTATCATGGGCTGAAAATCCTTAGTAAAACTTGACACTTAAACAGGAGGGAGGCACAGGGTCCCACGTGCCCTGACGCAATACAGAAACGTGCAGTACATACTGTGCTGTTACTCATAGCCTCCCAGAGCCCTCCATGTTATTCAAATGCTGAGTTTTAGCCATCTTCTCTGTTTCAAACAGGACATCTCCACTGAATCCAAAGCCCCCCTCAGCCCTCAGTCTAGCCGCACCTGGTTTGACCAGTGATGACAGGGAGTCTGCCTGATGATGCAGGATGCCTGCAGGGGGCCTGTGTGTCCCTGCCCAGAGAGGAATCTCCTCTGGTCATCAGGGAACACCCTCTACAGGAAGGAACAAGAAGCACTGAGAGACATTTAGACTTGAGCCTAGAACAAGCATGGATACATTTATTGGCAGAAAGCAGAAATCTATGAAAGAAATTGTGTTCCTAAAGAGACATTAGCTTTTTTTAATTCGTTTTTTAAAAAAATTTCAGTTCAAACCCCAGTATGACATTATTCCTCCTAAACTATAGGAACAAATATCACAGCTGGACTGCATACAGATCTTTCCTTTGGATGTGGAGGTTTTTAGCCCTTCGAGCAGGGATTAAAAAACAGTGAGCAATCAGTTTTGTCACTGGCTCTTTAAACACTTTCTGGAACTAAAAAGGCCTAAGTACGCAATATTTAGTGAGTGTTACCGAAGCTAGTTTTTGTTTGCTCATCCCCAAATTAGGTCAGCTACCCTTTATGAGGATCAAGTGAGATAATACTTGCAAAAATAAAAAGTGTGGGTTTTCTGTGGCCCTTGAATCTCTTCTGGGTTTTCATTTGTTTTCTTGGGTGCCGAGTCAGATGCAGTCAGAACAGAGAGGAGGGCTACAGGCCCTGGTTTCCGAGTTCCTGCCCTACCCCCTCCCCGTCTCCTCCCTCAGCCCCCCCACCCCACCCCGAGGACCCTGACTTCCGAGGCCGCTCTCTGCAGGTGCCCACTGGCTGGGGAGTAGCAATTCTCATATCAGACAAAATAGACTTTAAAATAAGGACTATCCCCCTGGCTGGTGATGACGTTCTGGCTCGTGGCTCAGCAGAGTGACATCGTGGACAGCACCTGCCACTGGAGGCTGTTCAACCTGCTCATGGGGGCCACGTACATCCTCTGCTACCTCAACTTCTGGGACAGCCCTTCCCGAAGCCGGATGGCCACATTCTACACGGCAAGTGGCGATGACGGTTTTGTTTAATCCCAGCTTTTACCGTATACGTAGAACGTGTGTGTGCATGCGTGTGTGTGTGTGCACTTGTGCACACATATCTATTAAGAAGGTATAGCTTAATTTTAGGAAAAATTCTAAAGGGAATTATAGTCTTGAACAGAGATGATGGGCTCTGAAAATAGCAACCTGACGTCCAGTTGTTTCCACGTAGTTACTGCGGCAAGGATTGTGGCGCCTTTGGCGATGTTTTTCAGCCACTCTCTACGTCAGCCCATCTGATAAATACAATCACAGTTCTATTCTGTGTCATATACGCGATGCCCTTGTTAATCAACTCAATCACGGAGTTACAGCTGTGGTCCTAGATAGTGTGAAAAACACAAAGATGACGTAATGCCTGTCTGCAGGTCCCATGGAGGAGATAAGCCTCTACCCAAATGAGTTTTAAAAAGAGGCAGAATGTGGACAAATGCTGGCAGAGAAAGCAGCGTCTGAATCTCACAGGAGTGTCACTTCCCACTGGGATGACCAGGGACACTTTTGATGAGAAGGGGGAAGTTGAACTGCATTGCAAACAGCAAAGGAGAGAGGACCAGCCAGGGCTTCGGAGCACAGGCTTTGGAATCAGACGGGCTTACGTGGGACCCTGGCTGTGCCATTAACTGTCACCAAATGACGTGGCCAAGAATTTAAACTCTCCGGACCTATTTTTTCATCAGCACATCAGGACATAGCCACCCACCTCTCCGTGTCCCTGTGACAGTGATGTGAGACCTACCTGCTTTTCAGGGTCCCTGGGAAGATTAAATAATAAACAACTTGGGCTGAAATAACCAGCAAATAGTGGCTGTTACTAATACAAAAAGTTGAAGAGACTTTCAGGGGTGCAGGCGCTCCAGGATGGAGGGGGGAACAAAGAGGAGAGCCCGGAGGTGCAGCTCCTGTCTCACAGCAGGTGGGCGGCGTTGGTCACCTCCTGGTTTTAGGAGAGTGCCGTAGAGCTTGGTGACCCCATAGGCCACGGGGCCCACAGACCAAAGAGGGCCTGTGATGTTGAACGAGTCACAGAGCCCCACCAAGCCTCAGTTTCCACATCTGGAAACCGGGAGTAACAAGGCCCATCTCACTGCGGGGGGTGAGGGCTGAGTGTGTGGCGGGGCCCCGCCCCCACACTCCATGAATAAACCTGAGGGTCACTTTTCCATCGTCCGTTTGCCGGAGCAGCGTGTTCACGTGCCGATGCCCATGGGCGCCCTGAGAAACAGTACTACATAAGGAGACGCTTCACAGTTGCTGCTTTTCTTTCTTTGTTTTTGTCACGTTCACACCCTTGTGCCAGGAGTTCTAGGAGCTGTTACATAAGGAAGGGAAACAAACGCTTAATTCTCTGCAGCTGTCCTAGTCACCGGACCACTGAGTTCAGAGTGATCGAATAGGAAAAGACAGAACTTAGACGCTATGGAAGTTTTGAGTGTGGAATAGCAAAGATGCAGAAGCACAATGAAGGCTACGGGGTGCGGGGAGGCCATAGGAAAGCCAGTGTGGACGGTACCGAGTTAAACACACCCGGACGCCAGTTGACGGCGATGAAAACAGATTCTGTTAAGTCAGTCGCAACAAGGAAAGGGGTCCAGCGTGGACTGACCCCGACCTCAATTTGTGCAGAGGCGACTGCATATTTTAAAGGGAGAATGGCGTGGGACAGCGTGGGCTCCAGCAGAGTCGGGGAGTGAAGGGGTGTGGTCAGTGCGACCTCACCATCTGGGGTGTTAGTTGGCACTTTCGGGATGAGAAACACACTTCCTGTCTCTGTCTTGAAGAGTGTTCACACACCTGAGAGCAAGGAGCTCACAGGCTGGGAGAGTCGTCTCCTGGGATGTGTGGATTTCAGAGAGATGGTCCTCAGGTCCTGGAGAAGACAGCTCTGGGTGGTAAAAGATGTACATTTCAAAGGGACAGAGAAAGGATTTATGATCTCAGACTTTCTAAGGTAACGCCCCCTAAGAGGAGGTTCAGGGCCTATCTGCCTATTACCAGATTTGGGCTGGAATGAACGGTAAATTCTCCTGGCAGCACTGAGCTTTCTTAGGCAGGGACTTAACTGCAGCTGGGGTCATCATGCTAGGGGTGCAGCCTTGAGCTGTTAGAAACTATGGTAGTGTTGGTTCAGGTCTCTTAATGTGCAGAGGTGGGCAAAATCGTTTCCGCTACGAGTCTGCAGTTTTTATAGGCCAAGGCTGAGGCCTCGTCCAGAAGAGGGCTTAGGGGAGCCTGTCTGAGTCATTTGGTCAAGAAGAGGGTCTTAGTCAGTGGAAAGTCATTGCATTTGTCAGCGTTCTCCAGACAAACAGAACCAGTGGGATGTGTACGGATGCGTAAGAGCAGATTTGTTATAGGAATTCACTCATGCAATTATGGAAGCTGAGAAGTCCCACGGTCTGCCATCCGCAAGCTGGAGAACCAGGGAAGCCCGTGGTAATTTAGCCCAAGTTCAGAAGACCAAGAACCAGGAGGTCGGTGTCCAAGGACAGAAGAAGATGGATGTCTCAGCTCAAGAAGAGAAGGAGAATTCCCTCTTCCTCTTTTTTGTTCTATTCAGACCCTCAACAGATTGGACGGAGCCCACCTGCATGGGTGAAGGTGATCTTTACTCAAGACTATGATTCAAATGCTAATCTCTTCCCATCCTCACGGACACACCCAGAAGTAATGTGTTACCAGCATCTGAGCATCCCTTGACCCCGTCAAGTAGACACATAACATTAGCAGTCACAGTCCTTTAGGGGGCAGCCTATAGGAAGGTGACCCTGGACCGGAGAGCCAGGACACACTGTCAAGAGGACTGCTGCGTTGTCAAGGAGTGGACACTCGACGCTGGGTGGAGGTGGGGCTGTCTCCAGGTGTGTTATGGAGGATGACAAGGACTGATGTGCAGGTGAAACGGCTCACCCTGACAATGGTGGGGAAGAGAGACTGCAGTAGAACCCTGACAGGAAGTGGCAAGCTCAGAACTGTGAACTGGCAATAAGGACACGGAAAAGGAGATGGATTTTTGTTCTTTCACAGTCTGCACTACCAGTTCTTTAGTTTTGTTTTGTTTTGACATATACAAACTTAAGAGGGCCAGACAGCTGATGAGGTGTGGTTGATTTAAGGAGAGAGAGTACCTCCAAGTTCTGCAGGCTGGGCTGCTGGGCAGTGCCGTTTAGAACCGAAATAACACCTGCTGGACCCTTGAAACACAGCTGCCCAGAGCCTAAGGCACGGGGAGGTGGGTATTCTTAGGATTTTTAAGCAGCCCCTAATATCGTTTTTTATTCTCTCCTTATTTGACCTTTCTAGAGTTAAAATGATGCCAGTGGCAAATGATGGCTATGGCAAACCTTGGAAGACTTTTAGCATAATAGTATGACAATTTAGGGTTTTTAAAAGATGTCTCCTACACAGTGTTTAAATACATAATCTTTGAATTACATCCCGTTTATTTACTTATTTTAAGAAATATATTTTGTATTATATTGATATACTTTATATTAAAATATTTTTATATTAATTTATATTTAAAATTATTAGCTTTGGAAACCTTAGCTAATAAGCCCGCCTGGACGGGAGGTACGGAGAGCCTTCCTTAACATAAGAGCTGCCCTTATTTCAGGCCCGGGAGGAAGGCTCCCTGTTCAGCCAGCAAGAGTACCTCCCCTGCTGCCACCTGGTGGCCAGGGGCCAGATTTACCTTTAAAGAGGTAAATATTCGGAAAAAAATTCTGAAGTTGTTACGGAAGTGTGTTGAGTCTGGCGTCCTGGAATTCAGTGTCACTGTGAGCTCTGCAGATACTTTTAATTATTGCATGGTAAAGCCAACAGGTGCATACAGTTAATTTAACATGAGAATGTGGAGCACATAAAGTAGGAAATAAAAGTCTCTATCAGCCCCACCTGACTCACCGAAGGGAGCCCCCTCCCCCCAGCCTTGTGAGCTGTGCCTATGTTTCCTGTGCGTTTATGATTCTGCAGACATTTTAATGAGCTGCACTGAGAACAGGGAGAACACCCCGTTGCTAGAGAGGCTCACTCGACCCTGACCCTGCTTCCAGGAGGGCTCTGTCAGCAGTGGGAGCCCCCGTGGGCACGAGGACAGAGCCCCCAACCCTGAAGGGAGCTGCGGCAGATCGCAGGACGGGAGCATCCCGAGGCCGCCTGCACCCGACCAAGCGTGCTGACTCTCCTTCTGGTGCCCTAGGTCATGCTGCTTGAGAACACCATCCTCGTGCTGCTGGCCACGGATTTTCTCCAGGGAGCGTCACGGACCAGCCTGTGGACGGTAGCCGGAGTCTTGTCTGGATTTCTGATCGGTGAGACCCCACGTCTCCTTCCTAGCCCCTCCCTCCCTACCCCAACTTGCTTCTTTACAATAAGCTCCCTCCAAGGGTAGGAAACGGTGCTCAGAAGCAGCTGGATGGAGACCAGGGAAGCTCCCTGCCCTGCAGGCGGCAAGGCCGCTCCCACTCCCACCGGGGCACGAGAAACCGGATCAGCCTCCGTCTGCGTTGCTTGGCTGTGCTCAGAGGAACTGCTGGTGAGGCAGGGGCTGCCTCGGGGGTGGGACCCTCTCTGGCGCGCTGGCAGGGGTCAAGGACGTAAGCTCCCGCCTTTTCCCAGCATCGAGGCACTGGGTGCGGAGGGGGCAGAGCAGGGGCCTTCCTGGCTCCACACACATGCGGTGTCTTGACGAGAACCCTAGGAGAGGGGCTGAGCTACCCCCAGCCTGGGGTGAGGCAAAGGTGAGGTTAAGCGATGCCGCGAGGTCAGGCGGTCTGGGAGTGGCCGAGCCACAGGGCCTGGCGGTTTAAGATGATCGGTTACGTCTCGTGTTGAGGGAACGGCTCCAAGGTCCACGCTGTGCCCACCACGCTGACCCGGCTTAGCAGATCGGGTGTGAGCTCTCCTGCACTTGGAAAATAACAGAAGACGCACCCCTGCTGTCGGCCTCCTCCCAGCACTCCTGCCCCAGCACGCGCTGGCCCAGCGATGGCGGCGCCCTCATTCTGCAGCCTTTGCCAGAGCTTCCAGGACAACACCTGGATGTTCCATGCGGGTCCTTGCGCTTCTGAAACACGGTCCAGGGCAGAGGCTTCTCCTGCTGTTCGCAACAACTCGGGGCCCGAGCTCCCGTACGCCCCAAGGCCTTGCCTCTGGCCACCCACGTCCCGGGGGGAGCGCGTGGGAGTCAGGGCACCACCGGGCAGCCCTGACCCCTGACGCAGGAGGATGGGTGGCGGGGAGTAGGGTCCTTTTACTGGCCAGCAGCCGGGACTTGGACTGGCCCGTCGGGGTAGCACTGACCAGGGAGAGGAAACGCCCCGGAGCTTCCAGCGTTTGGAGACATGAAGATGACTCTTCCAGGGATGGAGCAGATTCATAAACATGGCCATAAAACAAGTATTTGAGGGCCACGAACCAGCGGTGGCCTTTAAGCTCGACCCCCTCCGTTTTCAGGACCCAAGGCTCGTTAGAGATGCCGGTGGCCAAGTCAGCCCTTCTTTTTCAAATTAAACTTTTACCTTTGAGATGACTGAAGTTTTCAGAAATAACACAGAGATCTCCACATCAATAAATGTTTAAAGAGTGTAAAGTGAGAAATGACGCAAGGACGGCTAACGTGACTGGAGATGCATGAAAATAATTCACCGAGAAGATAACTTGAGCGTCGGATCTAGGAGGATGGATGGAAGGTATTACGGTAAAGACAGGGAAAATTTTCAAAATTGTGCATGAAAGAGAGAGGAAAGAATAGAAGGAAGGAAGGAAAGAAGGAAGGAGGGAAGGGTAGTGGGCAGGGAGGGAGGGAGGGGAAAGATAGAACACAGAGAGATCCCTGCGTCCCTCCCCAGTCCCCCCAGTGGTGGCTTCCTGCAAAACTACAAGCAGAACATCAGAACCAGGATGTTGACGTGACACATTCAAGATGCAGAGAGAACTTTTCCGTGGCCATGAGGATCCTTCTGTTATTCTTTTAAAACCATATCCACTTCCTCTTATCTCCACCTCCCTCTGTAACCCCAGGCGACCGCTAACCTTCCTCCATTTCTATGATTTGGTCACTGCAACGATGTTACGCAACTGGAATTGTACAACGTGTGGCTTTGGGCATTGGTTTGGTTCACTGAGCACCATTCCCCGGCAGTTCTTCTAGGCCCTCGTGTGTATCAACATCCCTTCCTTTGTTGCTGAGGACTGGTCCGTGGTTTGGATGAAGCTCAGTGTGCCAACCACTTGCCTATTGTAGGACAGCTGGTTGGTCCTTTTTAAAATAATAATATATATGCCAGGCGCCAGGGCGCAGGGAAGTGCCCGGGGTGCCCAGGCATGAAGCGGCCGGGCTCTCTCACATGGCAGCTCCCAGCACTGCTCGAGCCATCCTTCCTGGGGGCGTGGGCACCGTGACACTTGGGATGAAGGGACGGTGAAGCTGGGCAACCCAACCATTCATTCGGATTTTCCAGTTCTCACTGAGTCCTGTGAGCACAGCGGGGTCGGACGTAAAAAGGCACCCCCTGCCCAATCTGCTTCATGCTCCAGTTGGAAAAGAGATGTCGGACACCATTCCTAAAATGTGTGGGACTCCTGGGGCAGCCTGAACTCCTGATTCCCCTGTGGTGCTGGAGGGAGTCCTCATTGGGAACATGGGGCATGAATTATAGTCAGCGGAGCACAGGCTTTAAAGCAGCAGCTCTGGCTGCCATCTTGAACTCCCTTGATAAGCATTTATTGAGTACCTACTGCATGCCAGCCTGGGGCTGCAACCGAGAACCCGGTGAAACATGCAGCCTCAAGGAAAGTCTGCCTTCGCTGAACACATGTACCTGGGACTTGCAGGATGGAGGGGAAGGGGGTCAGCTCCCATTTCTTGGCCTCGGGTGGCTCACTGTAGAAGGAGAATGGCAGTAGTTCCCTCGCGCTGGCTGTGAGAACTTGGAACAACCTATAGAAACGGCCGGAGCCGTGCCCCCTGCAGAAACAGCACTCGGTCACATCCCAGAGGAATTCTGTCTCCATTCCCCCAAAGATACCCTGAGAGGATGCAAGGGGACGTCTCTTAGGCTCCTTCTAGCTCCATCCTTGCTGCCATTTCCTGGCCCCTCCGATGCTCTCCCCCCTCCTTCCCTGCCTATGTCAGGTTTCACGCTGTTTATACCGAGCGCCCTGAAACCAGGCGCTTGGTCCAGTACAACAGGAAGCTGGAAATAACGTGGGAGGATTACTGGAAAGCTCTGTTAAATGAATTATTGCCGTAGCCAACACTTCGGATCAAAATAAATGAACCTGACAACAACGTGATTAAGATGTTTATGCACAAAGGAAATATTGTTGCCGTTCATGGAAATTCCTTGATACAAGGTTTTTGATGTGTATGTTTAACCTCTGCTTGGGTCTTGTTTTTGAAATGATTCCTTACCTCCCCCTCCCCTCGCTTTGGAATCCATCAACCAGTGAGTAGATGGTTGAATTCTGAGTATCTGACCCAGTTTTCTGAGAGTAAAATGATCATTTCTCCCAAACCTCTCTCTGTCTCTCTCTCTCTCTCAAACACACACATCTAGAGGACTCAGTTGGAGCATCCCTCAAGGAAGAAGCCATAGAATCCACAGGACTTAGACTTTGTTCTTAGATTTTCAAGTGTAGACACACTTGCAGCTTATGGGAGCTGGAGAAGACTTAAATCCCCCCCCCCCCCCAAATATCCAGTTCTCATGCTCCAACGAGTCCTGTTGTGGATCCCAAGTTGCATTACTCCACTCAGAATTCCAGAACCTGGAATTCTGCAAACCACAGCGAGGACACAGGACTTCAAGGAAGGTAATCTTGTGCTCTTTTTCTTCTTTTTCAGGCAGCGTCTCGCTGGTCATTTATTACGGCCTGCTACATCCTAAATCCACAGACATCTGGCAGGGCTTTGTAAGGAAGTCCTGTGGCGTTGCAGGGGGTGATAAAGCAGAGGGGGACTATCCTCCCCGGGCCTCGGGGCCAGCTGGGGAGGGGCCGGAGAGCCTGGGGACCTGCCAAGAGGAAAGTGATGTGCTAACAAGCCTGGGGAAGCCCCCCAGCCCACAGTGGGGTCCCCCACAGGCTGGGATGGAAAGCCAGATGGCTGGGGAGGCCTCTTTCCTCAGCCATCACCACTGGCTCTTGGTGAAACTTGCCCTGAAAACGGGAAATGTGTCAAAGATTAACGCACTCTTTGGAGAAGACAATCCTGGCTTCTTTTGTTCCCCTCCATGGGGGTTGAGCCAACACTGCAACCAGGAGAGGACGCCCCCATCCTCCCAGCAAGAGCCCCCGTCGTCACCCCACAACCCCCTAGCCTTGGAGGAAGGCTCTGAGCTCCGAGTTGTCCCCAGAGCAGAGGCTGATGAAACTTCAAACTACATCTCTTTTGCCAGCGATAATCATGACAAAACTGCTGCCCAGAAGCCGTCAGCTATGCAGCAGGAGGGCCGCCCGAAGGAAGGAGACGGGGCTGCTTCTGGGCTGCAGGGGAGGGGTGCAGGTGGGTGGCTGGGTGCAGGGGAAGGACAGGAGAGCTCCACACTCTACGTCAGTGCCACCACTGAAGGGGCCGTGTCCTCACACCAAGACGGTGGGAGGGCAACTCTGACGATGTCCCTCTCTGTGAGGAGATTGGAGGAGGGCAGCCCTGCCCGGCCTGCCTCACCTCTGCCGGCCACCAAGCCCTTTCCCGCCACCATGGCCAACATCAGCCCGATCTTAGGCACCGGCCCAGGTAGAAGCTTCCACCCTAGTGGCAGAGCCCTGGGTGGCTCAGGGCATGGGGG